AATTTAAATTCAGTCGACCCCCGTCCCTCTCCCCCCTCCCGCCTGCCCCGAGGTTTTAAAACAAATTTAGACTCAAGCCTGGTTTCGGACGCGACCTTTAGACCACCATCCCCCCCCTCCCCCCCCCCCCGGTTTAGTCCCAACATTTATACAGGCCATTAGACCCGGTTTAAACTAGATCTTCACAAAATCTAAACACCCCCCCCCCCCCCCCCCCCTCAACTTCAGACCTCGCCTAAATGTGACCCGCGACCTTTTGAACCCGGTTTCAACCTGACCATTAGACCCAGTCTTTAGACCACCCGGCCACGGAAACCCTGGTAAGATACGATCTTTAAACACCCGATATGATCAGATCTTCAGACACCGCGTCTTTGGACCTGGTTTAAACTCGCGCTTTAAACCCGCTCTAGACTGCACCTGCAGGCGCAGCTGACCCGGTTTTTCAGACACGACCTTGTGACCCGGTTTTAAACACGGCCGTCAGACTCGCTTCACTCCCAGCTGTTTTGACCAAACCTTTAAACCCGGTCCTCGACCCAGCCTCTTGGGACGCGGTGGTTAGAGCCGTGACCTTGAAGCCCCAGTCTAGAGGGGACCCGTACGACCTCGACATCGAGACGACAATTTCTTTTTGACAGGACCGTGAGACGACACCAGCCCTTGAGACTCCCCCTCGGGGGGGTGCGTGGATCCGGGGGGGGGGGGGGAGGGGGGCCCGGCACGGGGGGGGGGGGAGGTGGGGGAGTTGGGTCCCCCCATTACCACTACCAGCTCAAAGAACACGTGACCCCTGCTTGGTGACCCCCTAACGTATCTAGGCTACACCCCCCACCCCCCACCTTCAACCCCCCCCCCACCCTCGACCACACTCCGCCCCCCCCCCTCACCCCGGCCCCCCCACGACGTCCGCGTGGGGTCAGCGTTGGCTTGCGGCGCCGCGCTGCTTTGGGCCCCGACGTTTCGCGCCACGTCCCTTCTTCCCTTTTTGTCGGGAAGGCCGGCTTTCCGTTCGGGGAGGAGCGCGCGGGGCTGAAGGAGGTTGTGTGTGTGTGTGTGTGTCCCCGCATGAACGGGACGCGGGGCGAAACGTCGGACATCGTGCCGGACGGCGCGCGACCTCAAAATGCATCGGAGGGTTTAGCTAGACCACCCCCACCCCCCCCCCCTTTAATATTATCAGTATTATAGTGGTCATGGTTATCGTCAGTATCAGTATCGCGTGAATGGTATAGCAGCGACGGCGGACTTGCGAGACGCAATACAGGGCTTTGTTCGCACTTAACACAACAACAAAAAAAGTTTGTCTCAATAAAAGCGAAAGCAGATTTATAACTTTACCAAACCGCCGCTGAAGTCGCAGCCACGCGCCACATCGTTGCGAAGGTGGCGACGGCGGTGGCTATGCCGGGGGTGGCTATGCCGGCGGTGGATATGCCGGGGGTGGCTATGCCGGCGGTGGATATGCCGGCGGTGGCTATGCCGGCGGTGGCTATGCCGGCGGTGGCTATGCACGGCGGCGGTTGCGGTTGTGCTGCCGGGAACTTGTCCGCGACAGGCCTCATCCTCGCGGCGTCCCGGACCGATCCACCGATCGCCGCTCCCGGCGTGCCAACGCTCGTTGGCCAATTTCATCGCTCCACCGTTCCGTCGGTCGCTCGTTCGCTCGACCCTCCGGCTCAACCGCTGCGGCCGTCACGCGAATCGGATCGTCCGTTGCGTGCGGAGTCGATCTGTGCCCCCCCTCCCCGCTCCACGCCCCCCACCCCAGGGTCCCCCCCAAAATTGGAATCCACGCAGAGGTTAAAGAGACCGGCGCTGCCAATTGGCGTCTTCACGCAGTCCTGGGCTGTACCGAAATTTACAAATTGTAACGTCATTACATTTTCCAATTGATTTCTCAATTACTCAGGGCAAAAAAATACTTGCCAATTTTGTATGGATTGTGAACATAGCAATTGGGTCTGTCGCCACAGACGGTATCTACGCTGAGCCTTCTGTGCATGGTGGACACCGCCCATGGCAGACACTGCCCGTGGTGGACACTGCCCGTGGTGGACACTGCCCGTGGTGGACACCGCCCATGGCAGACACTGCCCGTGGTGGACACTGCCCGTGGTGGACACTGGTAGGACTTTGCACCCCAGGTGGTACAGACCCAACCGGCTTGGGCAGTGGACCATGGGAGTTGTTGATCCGTGTGGCAAGCTCAATCTCTGCGGTGGCCTCTGGGTTGTTGCCGTGAGTTGCAAACGCATGGCCGAGATTGCGCACCTCGGCTTTGAGAGCAAAGTCGGACTTGGCTTCCCCCCCCCCCACCGCCCGCACCTCCTTTTTGAAAATCGGTTCGAAAAAAATGTTTCGTTATATATTTTTTTTAAATGTCTCTTTCTCTGCCAATTTCGTTCAAAATTGGCGCTGCTGCCGGCGTCGTGCCACGGGATGGAACATCCAATGGGAATGCTCGCAGAGCGACCCGTGGCAGCGGGAATTACAGAACTACCCCTGAGATCCATGCAGAGTGGCCTCAAAGCCACACCAGGGTGGCACTGAACTCTCCCACACACACACACCTCTGCTACAGAGACAAATACTCCTCTCGTGGAAACTTAATATTTTAAAATTCTCACGGCTAGGAAAAAAAAAATGTGTTGCCGGCTTCAAATTCAGGAATAATAAAAGAAAAATAGTCAGTCATCCGTGACCAGAGCAGCAACCATCGCCTTCCCACACTTAACAAATCCCGCTCAATTGCTGCGGCTGGGCAGCTGAGTTCTGGAGTGGAACTCAGAATGTCAGTGGAGCAAGCTCAAAATGTCTCTGGCCCCTGACCCTATGACCCAACCACCTCGAGTGGATCAATGAATTTATAATTTGACACCGAGTGATCGTTAAAGATCAACCAGGCCCTAAGGCTACCTCCTAAAACGCAGGTTTGTGGCCTCAGATGTATTATTCGCGTTGCTTGTTGTCAAGATGCTCACAACTCAAGGTCGGTGATGCTGAGCCCACACCGAGTTTCGGCCGCCCTGTGATTAAACCACCGGGTTCTCACGTGTAGTGAGTTGATGGTCACAGCCCCCAGTCATCAATCACTTTCAAAGACAATGCATCATATTATCAGAGTATGTTTTTTTTCTTTGCGTTCTGACCACAAGCATTGTGGTTAATGCGGACATGATTCCTTACAAAAAGGTTTCATTTTGATGTCTTAACATCTTAACATACCTGTTTTGTTGCCAGAAAAAAGGGAGAAAACCCTATTATCATATTTTGGTACTGGCAAAGGAGGGGACCCATGATTTCAAAAGATGTTTTATGAATCTCGCGACGACGCCGACCTCCGATAGCAGCGCAATCGCAATCATTCATCACGTGCGGAGGTGGTGAGTGGGGAGCTGTAGGCGTGGGGGGGGGACGTGGGGGTGTGGTTGGTGTGAAAGTAAGAAAATCAAAATTTGTTGTTTAAAACATTTGCCGCTGTTGCCTGTCGCCGATCTTGCCTTTAAAACAACAACAAAAAAAGTTGCAGCCTTGCGTCTCGGATGTTAAAAAAAAATCACATCTGTGCTTAGTTTTGCCACTCCCGACACCAACAACAACAACAGTCATGGGTGTGCAAAGCCATGTCAATGTTTCAAATTTTCTTGCCCTGTCTTCCCACTTGTCCCACCCCAAATAATGAGCACGTGTCATGGATTGTATTAACCACATTAAACTCACACTAAATGCTGATTGTGCCCGGATCGCTTTCCTCCACGTGTGTATGTGTCGAGTGAACAAAAATAAGTTCAAGAGTGCTGCTGTGTGAACATGGGGGGCATCGGCGCTCGTCCGTCTACAGCCCTGCGGAACCAGTTGTGGAAATTCCACATTCCTATGACAGGTCGTTGGTTCGATCCCGACCCTGACGCCTGCTCCTTATATTTGGAGTTTGCGT